TGGAAGGGTTGTCCGCAGCCGTTTACACTGAGAGAGCTTCAACGACGAACGGAGCTTGTGATGCGTAACAAGCCGACTTCGCGATAACACACTGTGACGTGTTATCTTATGGAGAGACGGTTATGATTTGTTTTTCCTAAACAACGCGAGGGTATATATATGTAATAAGTTAGAGGGGAAGTCCCCGAAGTGGAGAAGGTTTACGTAAGAATAATGAAACTTCTAGTTGAGATGTCGCTCAACTCGCTCCTTCTAAGCGACTAGTATGTCGCTGAAAAAAAAGGAAAAAAAGTCACTTGTTTTTGGCTTGGATTCCGGGACGCGTATCCGAAAAATCTGGTTGAGTCAACAGGTGAATTTCGGCACTTTAAATGGCGCGTTTGTATAAACGCCACATCGCCTAGTTTACGGGGGAGAAAGAGAGAGGATCACGGGGGCCGCAGCTTGGGCAAACACGGCTCAGTGATTCGTTTGCTAGCTTTAAGCCGGCTCTGAGATGTGCCCTTAGACATATCTCAAACCCGGCTTATATATAGCCGTATTTACGTACTTCTATGGCCTCATCTGGCAGTATTTGCGCACTTATATGGCAATATCTGGGCGTATTTTGCTCCATTTATAGCGGTATATTTCCATATTTGACTGCTTATATTATCATATATGGCCGTATATAAAATGTATCAGGGCCATACCTGACATTTTCGTAAGGCAGGCATATCGGGTGACCAAGTTTATGAGCCGGCTAAAGGCCAGTGCGTGAATCACTGGGATGTGGTTACCTAAGCCTCAAGCTGCCTCCCCCCCCCCTCTCTCTCTCTCCTTTAACCAGACGATGTGACGTACGTGAAAAAGCGTAAATCAGAGCGTTGACTAATTACTTCCCAAGCTGTTCCGAATATGCTCCCGAAACCTTCTTAAAACTAACGTAGCGCTCTATCAACTATCCACTAACTGAACACATCACCAAGTGACTACACCAACTGCGTCACGACCGCTTCTGATTGATTTCAATGAAATGGTTGCTATGGCAACCGATGTCCGCTCAAGGCGTCGAAGTTGAAGGCAAGGGGTCGTAAAGGCTGGCTCGGACATTTTATTTGGGTGTAACCGGCTGCGCCACGATCGCTTATATGAGTGCGCAGACCTTACTAACCGTAACGTAACGTAACGAACGAAAGCACGAAGACAAGCACAAGGAGTACGCGGGACAAGTACTAGAAAATTCAGTACTCGCCCCTGTGTGCACATGCCATTTGTCTCCTGTACTTTTGATTGAATTTTGATTAACGAATAGAGTTTCATATTTTAAATAAATAGCAATAAACCGTGAAGACAAACACACACACACACCCGAGTCGGTTTTATCAAAATCGGAGTTGACCAAAAAACCTCGACGAAAAATCTCAAGATCAGGAACAACTGAAAAACCTCGACGAAAAACCTTGACTTGTCGGGAACAACCAAAAAGCCTAGAAAAAAAAAATGCTTCGTGGGGAGAAGTTTTGTTTTCAGCTGACCCAGGGCCAGAATACATACCGCACTCAACTGTCCGCGAGGCTGCTTTTTCCTTGGTGGCCTCAACCCTTTCCTCATTTTCGCTTTTTATCCGTACCTGGACGGTTTCCAGGTATTTAGTTGACGCGCATATTCGGTGCAGGTTGGCGGACATCACGCCTGTGTCTTGTTATCTGCCACATAAGCCATGATGAGCATAGGCGTGCTCGGGTTTCCGCATGAGAGGGGGCCTATTCTCATCAGAGCGCACCTTACGCTATCTACGCAGGTACTTGTAGCTGGTCGGTTTCCTCGCTACCGCCCACTTCAGTGCTGCTGAGACCACAGCAGAAAAAAAAACTATTTTGTTTTTTAAAGCGCGTATCTTCTGACGTTGTTGAGCAACAAGCGAATGGTTCTGCGAGGTTCAAAATTTAAGCGCAAAAAGTGAACTTAATGAAGTGTACAAATCAGAAATATTTTGTAGTTACGAGCAATTTTGTGGTTTACAGTTGGTATTATTAACCCGAGCAGTTCAACTGTAAAGAAAGGATGCATTTGGAATTTTTTGTCTCCAGGATCTTAAAGATTGCTTTATCGCAGCATACCCAACATAGCCACTGTCTTTAACTCCACTAAAAAAAATTAAAAAAATAAACCCACCGTTTATCAAGCAACCATTGATTTGATTCGGCACACAGATTAGGCATGGGGGATATTCGAAATGCTCCAGTGGTCAGTTGGGTGACAGTGTCAAAGTAAATGATGGTCTTCAGCGTACTGTGACACCTCAGCCTTAGTGCTTTCACATGTGGGCGAAAGGCGAAGTTGCTATTAAATTCTAAAGGCTGAACTCCATGGAGAAAATTATGCGACGAATAACTGACGAACTTCGGTCGACGGCACGCTCGCTTTACGGGCGACGTAGCAGCCACTATGCTGATGCCACGCGCACAGCAAAAGCCGCCGGGCAAAATTCGTCGCTTTTTCACAGCATATTCGTCCCATTTTCGCCTTTAGTATAAAAACTTACGTTCAAATATGAAAAATTTGTGTACTTTTGATATGTAACAGCGGATAAGAGGATGCTCCGCCACAGTCTTGCTAGCAGAAAGTGTAAAGCCAGGGGTGCAAGCAACAAAATTAAAACAATTTTTCTTTAAAAAAGTCTTACAAGTTTTTTTTTGTTTTTTCCTAATAGTCAGGTCCCCTTGGCCCTCCAGTGTGCACGCCTACGCTGCTAAGCACCGATTTCTTGCCTGACGCCGAAAAGTGACACCAGAAAACTCCGAATCTATGGAAAATAAAATAAACCCCGAAGAAAAAAACAAACAAACAAACAACAAAAACACTACCGGATTCGATGAAAAATGAGCTCCGAAAGCATGAAACCACAGTCATAAACTTACTCGCCCTGTTGACGCGACGAACCTGCGTCATATACTCGGTAGCAGTGGCCAACTTCAGACCTGCGTATATGCTATATTTTTATTCTTTTACGGACTATTATATTACCGTGGGTTTAAAATAATTCTGCCAACGTTATAAGCGTCCATATCTCGCAAATAGCGCGTGGATTTTATCTCACGACTACAGCAAAGCCCACAGTCTGGTACAGAAGCGCTAATTGTACGCTGGGGGCTCCACTTTTCAAAAGTACGCAAAGCGTAGTAGAAGAACGCAAGGAGACCTAATGCGGTCCGTCACACTCAAACGCAAATGTATGAATCGGTGTTTAGAGCGCAGCGAGCGATATAGATGGCGCCAATCAAAGAACGACAAAAGCGTAACGTCTCGGCTTTCATTGTCTTTCGTTGGCTGCGTTCTTATAATTATGCTGCCATAGTGTCTAAGAGGCCGAAAGCGCCACATCATGACAATGCGCTTATAGTTTGTGTGTACGCGTTGGCTTGTCTTCTTTCACTTCGCTTTGGCACCCAGATAAAACCAGCTGTGGGAGCACCGCAAGCTATCTTGCGGCAATCAAAAGGGTCCGTGTGCGAGAGAGCGAGGAATAAAGATTAAACTATGTACGTGGGACTAGGAGGTTGACAACATGGTCACTTTTTAATCGGGTGCTTGGGTTTTCGGGGAATGTGTGTTAGGCCGTGACCGCCGTGCTTTAAAGGCGGGCGCAGTCTCTCGTCGCTATGTGATGCTGATGCTTGTCCTTGTCGAGCGGAGGTGCTGTTTCATAGGGCATCCAGATCAGATAACGGTATCTATATTCGGGCTGTGTAATCTTGATGACTGAATGAAGCAAACCGTATAAATTACCTTTCTGTGACGTGTTACGTAATAGTCTAGTTTTAAAGCATGGAATGCTTAAGAATTTTCGTAGTTTAGTTTTAGTTTAGTTTAATGGAATTATGACAGCTCAAGACACGTCAGCAGGTAGATCCCTTTTGAACGCCATTTGCCGATTGTTGGAAGGTCGAAATTACTCCATAATGGCGAAACAACCGAGACTTCGCGGTACATGCACATCTAAAACCGACACACAAGTACACATACTAAAAGCGCACGGTGCATGCCGGCGCTTGGTCGGTGTTGGCACTGATCTCTATTGTAGTAGGCTGGATCGCGGCCTCAGTAGCTGTGGCCGAGTGTTGCCACCGGCTGCCATTGATTGACACGACCGAATGCATGGGACTTCATGGAGAAAAGGACAAGAAGTGTCATTTACCCCGCTTCTAAGCTATTTTCGGCACTGAAACTTTTTGGCTGCTTTTCGATAAGCCCGTCAAATAGCTTGCGTACAAACATTAAAACTGAGAGTCCTCGCAGTTTTTATACATAAATAGTTTGTGGTCGAGAGTGACTCCGCTGGGGATAGATGTAGTGCAGCTCAATGAGGCGAGAGTTACCTAGAGCTACCGCGGAGTCGGTGGCGGTTTCATTGCGTTGGGTTTAGCAGACGACAAGCTCGAAGGCTTTGCTAAGCGGAATTCGCTCACTTCCGAAAAGTCGCTGTCGAGATGGAACTTCTTTTTCATTCATCAACTTCTGGGCTTTCCCGATGACGGTCTCATTGACGGCAAGTTTCTTTGTTTACTCCAATACGAGAGCAAGCTTGCCAGTTTAGCCGTACGTGGTCTGGTACGTTTGATTTTTTTAATCGGCGTTCGAGCGTTTGACAAATACCGATTCGATCGCCAAACACACAAGGATCGCAGCACACCATATAATACTCGCCTCCGAGCACAGCGTGCGTGTTTGAATATTCTTACTTTTGTGCGTTTCTGCCATGAACTTGCGTGTATTGCCTGGTGTGAAGCAATGGCCGCCGGTGGCGACACCGACAGGCTCTCGATCCGCGATCCAGCCTACTACAATAGAAATCAGTGGGTGTTAGCACTGATTCTGGTTGAGGTTGTGCAGACCAACCCCTCCCCCTCTCTCTCTCTCTCCCCCCCCCCCCCCCCCCCCCCCCCGGTGACGTGGAAAATCCGGCACTACGGCCTTGACACCTAGGAAGGGTTGCGCGGATGCAGAAGAGAGCTCACGTCATCCGCCGTGATGAAGAAATTCCAGGGCAGTAGAGATCCGATACCAAACAGGAACATGGTGAAGCTCACGAAGTGGTACCTGGAGGGGAACCCGAAAATCTCATGGTCATTCCACTGCACAAAATAAAACGGGACTACATCATTAAAGGGGTAGTCCGGTGTTTTCTTGATATTTCCCGATTTGCCTGAAAATTTGCTACACCCCAAGGAACATCGCAGAAATGGTAATCCAAATAATGGGCCATAGTAATATTTTTTTCGCGATGGTGATGAATTTACACCTTCGGTCCTACCGTGTTTTTCAAAGTGAAAGTCTGTAGAGGCAACAATGAAAAAGTGACGTCAGAGGAAAGAAGGGGTTCACTCCTCTGATCGTAGACTTTGTTCCCAATTGTATACAAGCAGTTTCATGGTGTCAAATGAATGCTTTGAAAGCTCGCTCCAGCACCCGAGCAGCAGCATGAAACAAATGCTCGGCATAGTCCACTTTTTAGACGGCCCGCACCACTGGCAAGACTTCCTGCCATTGACGTCAAGGCACTGGAAAGCGCGGGTATATTTGAATGTTGGTTTCGGCGGCATCATTTTCACTTGCCGATTCCAAAGTAACTATTCTTAATTTCGCGATACTAAATACCATACCGAGAAGGGCACAGACCGACGATTCCGAAAATATAATTTATTTAGGTAGTTCAAGAAATCGCCGGAGAACCCCTTCAAGAAGCGTTGTCCTCGCTGCGTACATGTTGCGCGGTTTGTCAGTTGGTTACAGCAAGAGTTAGTGCGACGTGCTGAAAAGCGTTTCTAGCTAATAATTTTGTTCTCGTTCTCTTCATTAGTATTTCAGTCGTATTCCTTATTATATCGCGTCGCTCACTTTATACTTCAGACGACCGATTTCATTTTATACCCACCCAAAGTAGTCAACAGGCTGTGGTTTATCTGTGATTTTCGACAACGGAAATGCGCCTTCCTGCTAATAAAAGGAACTGAATGGAACTGAATAAGCGGGCAAGCGGGTTGATAATTCTTCCGCCTGATTTGTGCTTCTGTTAATTAAGTTTTCGAAGGTCTTTGAGTGTACTTCAGAGATAGGTTCATGAGAATATTTCCCGAACTAGGTATAGAATTGGCCATAATATTGCTTGGTATTATGAAGTAGCTTTCAGGACTTTCGAATAAAACACTCGCCCTTAACGCTTATATATTTCTGATCTATGCGAACGTATATGGTTACTTCAAACCAATAAAACAAAAACAGATGGTGTACCTATACTCGGTGTCACTAGTTGTGTGCAGTGCAGGCGAAGGCAACGCCGTCCGAAGAGAGAAAGGACGAGGACTAGGAAGGTGGGACGGTAGAGGAGAGCAATGGAGGGCGAGGTGGAGAAAGGAAGGGCACAAGGAACGCTAGAGAGGAAAGGAGGTTTCTCTTGTAAGCCCCAGCCTTCCTAATGCTTGTCCTTTATCCCCTTGCTTGTCGCTGGCTTCGCCTCTACTGCACGCAACTGGTGAAATTGAGTATAGTTTTAGTAGCCTTACATAACCAGCTAAAGTTGTCAACTGTCACTTTGCAAGAGGAATTTATGGTGAGGATTCTGCGTCGTTGGCGTTTGCTCTTCGACAAGAACGTTTTTGGAGTTATTTGGAGTTCGCACTTCAGATAAACTTCTTCAGATGTTCACGAAGTTTTGCTCTCCAAACTCTAAATATACTCGAAGTTTTACCTGCCAAGCTGACGCACTCGCTCTTTGACCTTGTTCCATTGTTTCACATCGCACACGTTCATAATTCGCAGAGAAGTAGATTCCCTGTAATGGGTTCCCTGTACTGACCCATAAAAGAATGCCTTCTCACCGAACGATGGGAGAAAATAATTATTTGATTTTGCGTGATATGTCACACAGAAGGCGACGCCACAAAAGTGAACTGGTCTTGTTGAGGAATATTGATACTCTCACATCCTCTGGATCGCTCAACTCTTTACATTAGGTAAAATAAATCCAAATCGTAAAGACGTCGGTCTTTGGAATTATTAAATAAAATAAAAATGACCAAATATAGGAAAGTAACCGAATAATTGATAAATAAAAAACAGCTCCTAGAAGTCGTTAGGTTACTTGTAGTGAGTTATTGCCGCGTCAGGTTGCACGTCAGAGACCACAGTGCAACGGTCGCACTTTGTCTGGCCACATTCGTACTCCTCTGCTGACGTTACGTTTCAAGGCATACCACTTTCCCTATCCTCGTCCCTACCATTCACCTACTCGCAGGCGGGGAGTCCAATGGCGTCAACTCCAAACCAAAACCTTCCCGACGCCCCTCTTCTACCCTTACGCGTTCCCCTTCCGCGGTCCGCCTGAGTGCCCGCACTGCGGAGAGCGTACCACTCTTCTTCACAAGGTCTGGCAATGCCAGGTCATTCCCTATGTCTTGCCTATCTCCAACCCCTCCTCCAGCTCCTGGGACGAGCGGCTGACCGATGACACGCCACCGGCCAGCAATGGCTGGTGGACCGTGCCGAGGCGGCAGCCGCCACTTACGGGGTTCCGGACTACGGGCTCCACCCGGGAGTACTGGGACGCATCATCGCGATAAAGTTCATTCATTCACTAATTTTCCGCTTTGAAAGTATCCCCACAGCAGATGCGATGTGACCTGACCGCACTTACGAAGGTGCTGTGGCATTTAGTGGAAAGGTCATGGATGATATTTTCTTCTGAGCTACGCACTTAGTTTGTCCTTCCGTTTCGCTTTTTGTGTGACATTATTCATTAGCTTACCCTCTTACACGTCGTGAATTTATTCAAAAGGACAAGCGCAAACAATGCCTGCCCATGAGTCATTATTAATCTTCCGGTTGACTTGTTCCGTCTAGTCTTGCTAGAATATCCCTTCCCCTCCCCCAATATTTTTTTTTATTTACTGCCAGGCGATTTAATATGGAGTCAAGATATTACCCAATGAATTTTTTGCTGCATAGTCACGTATAACTTTAATAAAGCCCAGAAAAAAAAAAAAAGACTCAACTGTCCAAAACCAAAACCGAAACACGAGCACGGAAGCTCATGGCCGGAAATTACGTAATACACCCGACCGCGTTTTGTTTTTTCACCGCTTGTCCGGCGTGTGAAGCAGACGACGAAGTTGCGTGCACCGTTTATCGTGCGATTGTTTCGCACTTTTATTCACTTCCGCTGGATGTTCTGCGCTTGAAGATTGATCGGTCGGTACCACGAAGGACAGGTCCGAAGCAGCTGCCCCTCATCCGTCGCAACGTTGGTCCGTCGTACACCGCTATCGCATCGTCCAGCCCTCGGTATGCCCGCGGTACGTCGCCATGTTGAGAACGACGAGCACATTTGATGTGTGCAACTTTTTTTTTTGTCAGATCAACGTGTTTGCAGCTTTTTGGTGGCCACAGAAATGGGGTTCGTATTCCTTTCTATATTTTTAATCTTAATTGTGCGCCTTAGATGACCCACGACTTCGAATACAGTATGTGATACCCATAGTTTGAACGCCACGTGACTATGAAGAAGAAAGTGAGTGCGACTGAAACCGGCCGATTCTCGACCGGCTGTTTTCGGGCGGAAAGACAACGAATTTAGACACAAATTTTATCATGGGTAGTTTGGCTCCTATAGGTCATGTTCAAATAAAAACCTCGGGGAGCATACATACTCTGTCTGTGACTCTTTAAATACTTCTGCCCGCTTGCCCATCAATTTGCTTTTTATGGGTAACGTTTTTTTCAAGTTGGCACTTTTAAGAGCGCGAGGCAACAGTTATTGTCCTTTTAGTAAATACAGCTTAAAACTGTTCGTTGACGCTTATAACTTATGTATGGAACACGCGTAAGTTGTTTGTTTTTTCTCCACGGAATAGCAATCGCAGAATAATATTATTAACAAAAAAACAACAGGCTTTACCCTTTGAACTTACAGCCAGAACAAGCGGCCACGTGGTCTGCTGCCGATTATATGCCGCCAATGTTTCTCCTAGCCACTCGCTGGGGTTGGCCAATCACAAGGCACGCGTGAAGTTCCACACATTGTTAACGTTGGCCTATTCCCGTCATCTTAGCGATAGCGCACGAATAATTACCCAAATGCATGTCGAAGCATTGATTGTCACGCGTCAAAATCGAATGCTAACACAGTGACAGTGGCCACTGCATCAGCGGCATTTAAATATCGTCACCCCCGCGGTGACCATATTTAAATGCGGCTGATCGCAAAGCTCGATGACAAGAAACTGGGGATCGCACTGTTGACAAAGCCAGCGCTGCAATCCCCACGACTTTACTCTCGAGTTTGCAAATAACTTATTTAAAAAAAGAAAAAAAAAAAAAAAAAGATCCGCTTCTATTTTTGAAGTTATTCCGCGACAAAAGCTTCTTGCTCATTGGCGATGCGTGCGAACGAGTATACTATTCTCCCACTAGTGCCAGTCGGCTCGTGTAAAGTGAGACACATTACCGCCCACTATCGTTTTGCACGGCCCCTTTGAAAACTTTGTACGAGCGTATCCAAAATCCAAAACAGCAGACACAAAAAATTAACGGCTACCCACGAGCCATTGTTCAACTGCAGGTTGACTTTTCGCGTCTAGTTCTGCTTTGGCTTTTTGTACCGGGCAAGCTGACGTCATTAGCGGCCTTTTCAAGTTTGTTAGTGTCGTTGTAAAACGTATGAAACCTTTGTAGAGGCATTATGTACTTTAACTTATTTTTTATATATTTCTGCATTATACTCCGTTTCACCTTATCATGAAGTGCAGCGGACAGTAACTAGCCATCCAAGCCAATCCAATGCCACGTGAATGTTACATGACGTTCGGGAAGAGTTGCATGCAACGCCTGGGCGTGTGGGTACGTGATCTGTTCACACGTGCCAGTTCGATTGTCCCTACTCGCAGTGTCCGCAGGGGTCTATCGTGCAAGGCGACACGGGTTCATTAGTGTTGTATGGTTTGTTCGTTTGCTGAGAGGTATAAGCCTACCAAATGTACTCACTGACACTTGATATCTGCCCGTTATTGTTACACCTAAGATTAACATCATCTTCATTCCCATCAAATAGGCCAGCATCAACACCATCAACACGATCATCACTTCTGGTGCTGAAGGACTGAATCGGTTCGAATCTGACCCCCAGCGCGCGCAGTCATCACATTTAAGCACTCCTCGTATTTTCAAATGCTGAAGGAGTGGTGGAGGAGCCGTGTATCTAACCGCGCGTACCTCTCGCGTACTATAGACTAAAAAAAAAAAAAAAGAAAGAATGTAGCCATTCTACCTCTTGTCATATACGACACTACAAAACTTCATTTCGACGTACAGCGCCCTATAGTCGAACAGACGGCCCCAACTTTTACGAGAGGCATGATTACGGTGGAATATAACATATTGAACAGCTAAACTATACGTATCAAAGAATACAGAAAGAAAAACACTGAGGTTTTGCAGTAGTGCAAAGAAAACCCCGATTACTTTTTTCTGCAGTCAGTCACACGTATATTATTCATTTTAATAAGTTATCAAGGAGGGGCTATCAAGCCCCTCTTTGAATTCGGTACTGTCGGTTCAACGTCGGTGCGCTGTACGTCGAACGAAGTTTTTGGGCTGTTATGTATGACAAAGGGTATAAGAATATACCCTTTTTTTCTGTGTGTACATGTTTGTGCGAGACGTCTCATATAGTTGTCTTTGTTGTAGGGTGTTGGTGGCATGTCGCCGCTTGCCAATTGTAAGGCTGCGGAATAATCGTCATGCTATTTGGACTTTTTGTTTCTGCAGTTTACATTGTTGTCTAATGCGAAATACATAATGAATTAATTAGTTTACTTATTTATCTAAGAGACAACACAAATTTGCTTACCGGTCTTCGGGCCCCGGAGCTGCCGGCATCTTGGACGTTACCTCTGTCGAGCTGAAAAAAGAAACAAATGTGTGGCTTATTTGTTTCAGCTTCGCCGAAAGTGACAATGCTCTACAGCCCTTTGAGGGCCGACGTGGTGCCAAGGCGAAGCCTTTTTTTACGCAAAATGTGCATAGGGTGAGGGGGTTACATATAAAGCATAAAATAACGGCCTCATGACATATAGCGTATATCTCACACCCTATAAGCTACAATTTGGCGATAATATTAGTATTTCAGTCGAAGGCCTATTTAAGTCGCACTTCTCTGTACGCTCTGAACAAAGTTTCTGCGCCCGCGGAGATGTCGCAAGGCGACGGCCCGTCTTCGAACCGTCTAAAGGGCAGGCCATTGGCGGTGTTCCTCTGTTCCTCCTTTGTCGTAAAGGTCGATGCGGCCTACATCTTGCACAGTTAAGGTCCATGCTTTAAAAAAAATCATATTAGCGGCACCTTTGCATAAAAAGCACTGACAATAATGTTTGTTAAAAAAAAGGAAAAAAACAACAAACAAACAAACAAAAAAACGCCATATATACATTGGAATTAGGTGTAACGCGGAACTGCAACACATGAAGTTTAGCGGCATGACAACCCCCCCCCCCCCCCCTCCTCGCCCCCATTTTCCGTCCTACTCCCCTCCTTTACTTCCTTAAATTCAGGGGAAGCGTTTTCCCGCTTAATTTAGCAGAATTTAGCGTGACTTCCAAGCCCAGGAAAGCTGATAGATAACATTGCTACCTCCCTGCCATGTTACATTGGCAATTAAGTGTTTTTTGAAGCTTTCAGTTTTCATGGCATAGTGTGTGTTGGGCTTTGATCTATAACAAACGACCACTTTTAGATGTCAAGACGTCGCGGGCACTTTTTCCTTTTGGGGGAGAAGGGGGGGAGGCCATCCTCGGGTCCCATTACCTTTCTAAATGTTTACCAATGAAAATATTTAATTACATGGAGATTCCGAACGCTGCTATCATCGGTCTTTTCAGACGCATTATATTTTGACAGAAAACGTAAAATCTTTGTGTGTAGGAGACTTAATACAGCAACTGCTTACGGCGCGCCTTACTTAGTGCCTGCTTTCAGCGCCTTGGTGCCTGCACCAAAGCGCTGAAAGAAGGGCGTGCCACCATCTTTGCTGAGACCTTCATTAGGGAAATCGACCGCCCATAAGAGTAATTTTGTTTTTTTTTCTTTTCAGGATGCTTAGAGCCTGTAGGTTGAGTTATCACAAGAAATACACAATCTCAGAACCCACTTCAGTGCCTTTAAGGTTATTTGTTTGTTGTTTTGCCGAAGGACAATACGTTTGAGCGTACTGCGGTCATTGAACCGCTTTCCGTCACACGGCCATTTTAAAAGGCAAGAGTCACTGACAGCTAGTAATGGAAGGGCTCGAAACAAACAAAAATATTTTGGGAAACATGTTTTCTGGCATAAAAAGCAAAACACGAAAACGAAACGAGACCCAGTTTAATTTAAATATCAAGGGGACCATGAAATGAATTTCGGGCTGGGATATATACATTGGAATTTTATTAACCGAAAGCTCTCCGCCGTTTCATTCTAATGCATCCGCGGTACCCAAGCACGTCGGCCGAACCCAGCTTACGCATTGGACACGAGCACTGCGTCACTTGGACATATGCGCTCGTTACCAATCAATCCGTCGACGACCATTTGGATTCGCGTTCGTGGCCATTGAGAGTGCCGTGACAGCACTTATCATCACTTGCGCGAATGCCAAGTTCCGTGGCGTGATTAAAAAGCACGTCGGAAGCTTGGAGTCATCACTTCCGGTGTCCAAGCACGTCACGACCGCGTGATTTCTCATTTCGCTTTTGAGTCGAGGATTAAGGCTAAGGAGGAAGTTGAAAAATGATTTCATGGTCCCTTTAACGAGCCAATTAAGCAAATTTCTGCAACATACGGTAAAATTGACATTAATTACACGTGAAAAAAAAAATAGCAAGTGTTCTCAGACATGAGGTGGAGGATTAAACGGAATATACCAGATTAGATTTGTTAGTCCATAAAAAAAAATGATGCGGTAACAGAGCAAGGGAGAAAATTGGAGAAAACACAAGTGCTCGTGGTTGTCTACTACCTCTATCCGTTGACAAACTGCCTGCATTGCACTAAAAGCACACACCAAATGTGAATTGTTCTGCTGTTCACGATGAACTGTCCAGTAGTATAGCTATAAATGGAACAAATATATCGACGTAGAGTTTTGAAAACATTAATACAGAGAAGTGATACCTTACTGTTGCCTGAAACGTGTTCGTGCAGTGTGTGCGTGCCCGCTAAGAAGACAATTTTTCATGTCATCCATCGCATATTTCCCGGTTAATACATTTCCACATCCTTAGTCAACGAAAACCATGGAACTTGTATAATGCGCAACCGAGCCACCGCGACTACATCACCATATGGACATAGTTTTGTGCAATATACTATAATATTTGAAAATTAAAACAACGCAAAGGACGAACATAGTCACAGGCACAGCGCTGTGTCTGAGTCTTTCTTCGTCCGGTCTCTCGTCCTTTTCGCTGTTTCTATTCTCAAGTATGTCTTACCAACTCGGCCTAGTTTCAGCTATAATAATATCATCACTGACGAAAGTTGGGTGTAAGTTAACCGTTACAATAAATACAATACAGCCTTGAAGACTATCGCCATTGCCAGATGCGTACAGTCAAAAATCTGCTAAATGGACGAAGGTCTCATGAACATTTCAAAAATAATATAAAGTAACAGTACTACCGGAACTGTCTGGCGAATAACTGTTGCCCTTGTTTATCTGTCTCGGTATCTTTCAAGCGATCGCTGGATCGCTGTTGCGGAGACCACTTTTCAAATGCTTTCAAAATTTTCAAAACAGACAAACAACCTAATTTTTTTAAATTTTAGTAAAGTTTGCAATCCTACAGATTAGAAAAAAAAAAAGAAAACAAAGGGCGGGGCTTATTTTATTTCCTGATTTTCGTTTGTTATTGGTTCACTGGCGTTCGTGTCGGCTAGTCCGTTAATCCTATTGGTTGCGGAGCGATGAGAATATGCCTGGGCTCGCCATGCCCAGTGCCCTTCTAAGTCGTCAGCGACTGCGTAAAGCTTTTGCCCATTGCCACACTCAGGGCTCGTTCACACTTATGAGGGCCGTGTTAGTGTACACTGTAAAAGACGACTAGCGCGTGACGATTAACGTTTGGCGCTGCTTCACTGACTTTGTCGGCTGCGATCGGCCTTAGAGCAAATGTTGGGGTACGTAATTCAGCGAGAAATTACGAACTGCCACAAGAAGAACAGACTTCCCGGGCATTGCTCGAAATTTCCACGTAGGAACAAACTGTGGGAAAACGGGACAAATAAACACGAGCGGCAAAATCCTAGCAATCGAGACGGTCCACGTCTTTCTGGGTCTCAAGCGCGGACAGATCGCCTTTTACGGCGCAGATACTGCGGCCGGACTTTTATGATGTTCCGACCCGCCGTTCTGCTTTTACGAGTTGGCGTCTTTTTGTCTTGTCGTCGCACGCCAACCGTAGCGTCGAACTCGAACATGCTGTAGTCGCCTTTTCTTTTATTTCTTGAACAAGTTGTAGTTGTCTGTCCGGGATGTGTGCGTTGATAAGCGCTTCTCTCTTTGCTAAGGGGAGGAGGCGAAGCGTCTCGGGTTTGCTTTTATGATATATTCCGCTTTGTTTCTGAATGGCCGGGTCACTACCGTAGCTCGAAGTGAGCAAGGAAGCACGTCGGAGAAGCCGAGTGAACTGCAATGTCTCCGGGCTCATGAGGCCGGCTCACGAGGGCGTGATGAGAAAGTGAATTGTACACAGGCCCCTCTCTCCGTAGAACTTCGTGCTCAAAATACAGCGTGTCCCCCCCCCCCCCCCCCCCCTTCAAAGAAAAAAAGTATTGCAGAAATAAACAACGCGCCGCTGAATGCTCAGTCTCTACCAAAAGGTGGCGCTACCGGTACGGACCGGATGCCAAAGTTTCAGAGCTAAACGTGCTCACTCAAATGTTATGAGCGTTTTTTTTTTATTTTTAGAGTAAAAGTGGTTGCCTAGGATGCCCACGGAAACATGGCGATAAATAATAAAATTAAGTGTAATATCTTTATTACTCCATTTTAAAGCAATGCATTCAACCGGGCCCGTGAAAGCCACAGGGGCTTGTGGGACGGAACCCGGCAGCCAGCTTCGCGTTCATACCTTTTTTCCTTTTCTTCTTATCTTTTATTTTTTTTACCGCGTCTGGCGGTAAGATACATAATAGGAACAACAACAGAACAAAAAGAGACAAAGAAATAACAGTGTCATTGGCTGAGCAAATCATGCCACAACGGAAGAACATGGACAGATAATATGTACACTTTTACCAGTGTTTAAAAAAAATACATGTATACAATACATTACACAACGATATGTAGATATTGTATCTGTTTAAAATGCTATACTGCTAGTCTGTAAAACCGATGTCTCACGTGTCTTGATTATCGTTGTGAAAGCACCGCTTTTTTACTAATAGTTTTACCTCCTTTTGTGATGTAGGACTGGATAAATCACGCGGAAGTTGATTAAGGTGATAGGGTATATATTAATTTAATAAACGCTTTCCGTTATCGGTATGTATTCGTGGTAGTGCAGTGGTCCTTATGTCATAGAAGTTTTGTTTTTAGGTGTTTCTTGAAATCGCTATTCGAATAATTGTTATAGTAACGAATTGCTACAGTTTCTCGAGCGGCATTGTGTTCAGACAAACGTGTTTCTGAAGTGGTTCTAAGTTCTCATATTGTGATTCGTATGCAATATTGTTAAGTATTCTGAAAATACTTTTGTTAACATGAAGTAACTCTCTATCGCTCTCTGACATGCTACACGTGTTTTTCCCAACTCATGTACTTGTAAAAAAATAATCCTAAGTACTTAGCATTGGCTTCATACCTCTTGACATAGATGTCCTTACCACGATCCTGATTTAAAAACAGTGATGTAGAAGTATAAG